AGCCTTTGCAGAACCTGGTGGCAACCTTGTGGAATGTTTTGGAACCTTACCTCATACCCCTTCCACCCTCGTGGAATTCTTGGAACCCAAAGCCCAGCAAGCAGCAATGCCAAGCATTTACTCTGCTGCACCGTGAGTCTCGCAGCGACGTGATCTGATTTGCCACAAAGCCAACATTTGCCTGAGCAAGTGAGCAAGTCACAAAGCAGTGAAAGTGTGCTAAAAGCCATTGATTTCGGTTTTGCTTAGTGTTCCGCCCAATCTTGATCCGATGGTTTTTCAGACGACGGGCGCGCGACCACTGCTTCCCTCCAGGGCAAGCCACGGAACCTTGCAGAACCCTTGGTGGAACATTGTGGGGCCTTGTGGAACCCGTGTGGAATCGTTGCAGAACTTTGTGGAACCCTGTGAAACTTCAGGGCCCACAGCCCTCGCAGAATCTTGTGGAACCCTGAAACCCTCAGAGAGCCGTACCTCAAACCACTCCGGACCACCCCGCAGCCCTCGCAGAACCTCGTGGAACCCTGCTAGAACCGTGCTGCATGGAACCTTCCCTTACAAAACCCTCATGGAATCTTACCTCAAACCAGCCCGGACCGTGGAACCCTGGTGGAACCCTTGTGGAACCCTGGTGAAACCCTCGTGGCTGTGCCCTCGTGGAACCTTACCTCAAACCACCCTGGACTCGCAGATGGTGGAACCCTGGTGGGACCCTGGTGGAAATCTGGTGGAACCCTTGTGGAACCCTTGCTTCCTCAAACCAGCCAGGACCACCCCGTAGCGCTTGAAGAAATTGCTGGAACCCTGGTGGAACCCTCGTGGAACCCTACCTCAAAACCACCACCCCGCAGCCTGGAACCCTGGTGGAACCCTGGTGGAACCCTGGTGGAACCCTGGTGGAACCCTGGTGGAACCCTGGTGGAACCCTGGTGGAACCCTGGTGGAACCCTAACGGAACCCTGGTGGAACCCTGGTCGAACCCTGGTGGAACCCTCGTTCAACCTTACCTCAGGGCCGCCCCGGACCACCCCGGAGCCTATCTGGGCTGAGACCCCAAAGCTTTCAGCTGTTGGGGAAAATAACAAGAAACAAAAAATAAGCTCGGACGATATCCCCAACAGCACCACACCCTCCCAGAATCCCCGCGGAACACCCCGGGACCATCCTTACCGCCGTTGCTGAGGATGCCGCCTTGTAACTTTCTAAAACAAAACTACAGCGCAACGCCTTGATCGAGACCCGACGACGCAATCGGGGCCCGATGGGGGCCCGACGGCGCAATCGGGGGCCGATCGGGGCCCGACGGCGCAATCGGGGCCCGATCGGGGCCCGACGGTGCAATCGGGGCCCGATCGGGGCCCGACGGTGCAATCGGGGCCCGATCGGGGCCCGACGGTGCAATTGGGGCCCGATCGTCCCGTGGTGCAACCCCAGCCACCCATATTATAGCTCAACGCCGGTTTTCCTTAGCATGCGGTTTACAACTGTATCAATAGCAAAACTAGGCGATGCCAGCTTGGTACAGTTGACGGGGTCGGGCCCCAATCGGGGAGGATGGCGCACTCGGGGCCGATCGGGCCCAAGCGGTGCAATCGGGCCCCGACGGTGCAATCGGGCCCCGACCTAGGCCCGGTGAACCTCGCAAACCGTTCTCATGCAACTTTCGTGGAGCTCAGCGTTAAACTTTGTTGGAGCCTTTCCTCAGGGCTGCCCCATAGCCTTTGCAGAACCTGGTGGCAACCTTGTGGAATGTTTTTGGAACCTTACCTCATACCCCTTCCACCCTCGTGGAATTCTTGGAACCCAAAGCCCAGCAAGCAGCAATGCCAAGCATTTACTCTGCTGCACCGTGAGTCCCGCAGCGACGTGATCTGATTTGCCACAAAGCCAACATTTGCCTGAGCAAGTAAGCAAGTCACAAAGCCGTGAAAGTGTGCTAAAAGCCATTGATTTCGGTTTTGCTTAGTGTTCCGCCCAATCTTGATCCGATGGTTTTTCAGACGACGGGCGCGCGACCACTGCTTCCCTCCAGGGCAAGCCACGGAACCTTGCAGAACCCTTGGTGGAACATTGTGGGGCCTTGTGGAACCCGTGTGGAATCGTTGCAGAACTTTGTGGAACCCTGTGAAACTTCAGGGCCCACAGCCCTCGCAGAATCTCGTGGAACCCTGAAACCCTCAGAGAGCCGTACCTCAAACCACTCCGGACCACCCCGCAGCCCTCGCAGAACCTCGTGGAACCCTGCTAGTGCTGCTGGAACCTTCATGGAACCTTACCTTACAAAACCTGGTGGAATTCTGGTGGAACCCTCATGGAATCTTACCTCAAACCAGCCCGGACCGTGGAACCCTGGTGGAACCCTGGTGGAACCCTGGTGAAACCCTCGTGGCTGTGCCCTCGTGGAACCTTACCTCAAACCACCCTGGACTCGCAGATGGTGGAACCCTGGTGGGACCCTTGTGGAACCCTTGTGAAACCTTCCTCAAACCAGCCCGGACCACCGCGTAGCGCTTGAAGAAATTGCTGGAACCCTGGTGGAACCCTCGTGGAACCTTACCCTTACCTCAAACCACCACCCCGCAGCCTGGAACTCTGGTGGAACCCTGGTGGAACCCTGGTGGAACCCTGGTGGAACCCTGGTGGAACCCTGGTGGAACCCTGGTGGAACCCTGGTGGAACCCTGGTGGAACCCTGGTGGAACCCTGGTGGAGCCCTGGTGGAGCCCTGGTGGAACCCTGGTGGAACCCTGGTGGAACCCTGGTGGAACCCTGGTGGAACCCTGGTGGAACCTTAGCTCAGGGTCGCCCCGAACCACCCCGAGCCTATCTGGGCTGGGACCCCAAAGCTTTCAGCTGTTGGGGAACAAGAAAAAATGGCTTGAGAAGTGGTCAAATGGATTTGCGCCAGTGTGGAATTCCGGCGAAGAGTTTGTCATGAAAGATGGGCCCTCAACCAGAATGTGTTTGAAGCATGTGTTGCAAGCACAATAGGAAACAGAACTGAAAACACACAATGCCTTGACAAATGATTACTTGGTTTCCTAAACTATCTACAATAGCATGCATTAAGCAAATTGTAGAAAGACCTAACGTTTTAGGGGACACAATGTCTTCTAGATATGCGCAAAAAAGAAAAATAGACTGAAATTACACCTAATGTAGTCATCGCAGGTAGCGGGCACCTATATGTGTTCTTCTTTTCTACCAGTATAAACAGGTACCGTGAACTTCAACTATCCAGTATATTGATGCAAAAACGTGTAATGTACTTCACTCCAAAGTATTTAGTGGAGCTTCATATTGCCTGAAGCTACAACATTTTGCAGAGAAACACTTGCAGCTGCGTTCAACTGGAGCAACAGAAGGGTAGATCTCAGGTGGACTAAGACTTGGAGAAATGTAAAGATATGGCCATGGGTCGAAATCCAAATCGGTCATCCCCAGTGAACATCCCAGTTCAACCACGAAAATTGGCACTAAAATAGGCTCTAAAATGGGTGGTGCACCTACCCCAAAAACGGTACCGTTTGCTTTTGACCCACAGCCATACTGATATAGACCTTGGTGAGTTGTTAACTTGTTTACACTGTGGTGAACTAATTGATTTAGAATGCGAGGAAGCAATTGAATTTAGTACTTGTTTGGCCCCTGCTTCTGCAAGCTTACCGGCTTTGCCTTTCACAAGCAAAAGTAAAGGCAGCCAAATGCTGAACTGTTGGACCAATGAAAAGTGAAAAGTAAAACGTCCAAGAGCAAAACTTGTTTTGCTTCACGCAATTTACATGTTGACTGTTCCGCAGAAAAGTAAAAAGAAAAAGTCCCGCAAAAGGAAAACGCTGTTTACTTCAGGAAGTGTTACTTAATTTTATTTGTCCCCACTAAAAAGGAAAAAGTAAGAGTCCCAACAGTATCTTGTTCAGGCAGTTTTGCTATTTTGCTTGTCCCCAGAAAGAGTAAGAAACAAAACAAAAGTTAAACACTGTGGGATCCATGAGCAGTAAAACGAAAAACCGTCGCAAGTAAAAACTTGTGTCACTTCAGAAAGTGTCGGAGTTTCATTCTGCCCCAGTAAAAACAAACAAATGTAAAACTCCAAAAAGTAGACCTTGTTTTAATCCGGCAGGTTTCTTTTGCTGTTGATGGGTCCAAAGTTGTTACTTTTTGAACTCTTACTTTTGCCCAGTAGAATTACTTCCGGAAGTTGTGCGTCTTTACTTTCCCCGGTAACAAGAACAAGTTAAGAGTAAAACACATTGGACCCAAGTGAGAAAGTAACACGCCTGAAGTAAAAAGGCTTTACTGTTGAAAGTTTTAAAAAAGATGAAATTACATGAAGTAAAAGAAGTTTTGCTCTTGGGACTTTTACTTCTTACTCTTCGTGGGTTCAACTGCTTTACTTTTCACGTCTTTACGTGTACCTGGGAAAGGTTAAAAAGAGTAAACTTCCGGGGCCAATGAAAAGTGTCAAACATGAAAAACTATGCCTTTGTCCCATGTGTGTGTGTGTGTGCGTTCTGAGTTATACGGGTAATTCTGTCGTTTTGAAATGCATCGATTGTTCCAGGGTTTTGGGATCATGTTGCCGCTGTTTTCGGTCTACCAAAGAAACGAGCCTGGTTTGTTTGTTCGCTTTCTTTTGGGGGGGTACCATATGTATATGTGTATATGCGTATACTGTATCTATATATGTACATAACTTTGGTATAACAAGAGCCTGAGAAGAGGTGGGTGGGTAAATACCGACTGCCCCCGATCAACATCTACCAGGTGGGTCAAAATGATGAGTCGCCCGTATGGGCATGCATTTTAACTGGTAGACATCATTTGCTGGGGATTTTTTGTCCAACCGCCACTTGCAAGCGGGTTCTTATTAGATTTCATCGCCACATTGTCGGTCAAAAACCGAAATAAGAGGTGGATAACCATCCCTCTCCCCAAGAAAAGGCAACTGACCATGGCACATATGGAGATTTCCTGGTCCAGGGGCACGCGCCAAGGTGCGTGTATCTGCTCATCGGCATGGATTGTGTCCCAGCTGCCATCTGCTGCATCCGTCACCGTCAAGAGCCTACACACCCCACGCGAAAACATGTCGAACCTGGCTGGTGGTCTGACGGTCTGATAGTCTGACGGTCACAAGACACGCAAAAATGGTGGTCACAAGCGGGTTTATCGCTTGTCTCACTTGCCCAAAGGACGCAGAAATAAAAGTTTAGCCTTTTGGTTTGTTGACTAATCATGTGCCAAATCGGGGAAACCAAAGGTCAGATCCGGTCGATTCGCTTCATTGGTTGCAAGTGAGCTGTTTAAAGGAAAGCTGGCAATGTCTGCAAATTCCAAGGGCATGGATCGGAAGAATGTACCCTCATGCTGTCCATGGCACCTTGGGGCCACCCACAAATCCCAAGTGGCTCGCGTTCAAATGAATGCCCTTCCTTTGGTCCGCTTGAAACGTCCATGACAAATGTCGACCCCAAATAAGCCCCTGGTTCAGTTTGATCCGGGGCGCGACCCAGTTTGGAGTAGATCCTCTCACGCGTCACTTTTGGGGCAAGCAGAACCAACAACCCCTATGAATGATTTACCTTCACCCCAACTAATGTAGAACCCAACTGGGGGGCGGCTCCTATGCGATTCTCCGCACGGGACGGTACCATGAACGGGAGGGTCATTCCGGTTCCAAGCCGCTGCTGCACTTCCTTCTGCGTGATGACCTGCCTGGCCTTGGTGACATCTTGGGGAGGGGGGGAGTAGTTCTGTAAAATCCTTGGGGAACACTGGGCATGGTCACACACTTCCTGAGTTGCTTTGAAGGGTTGCCTTGAAGGCCAACCAAGGGCGGAAGACTATTTAATTTTCATCTTGGCATCGCGGGTGGTTGGGTGCTCAGATCTTCTGAAAGGCTTGTAGCATCCTGCTCCAAGCGCTCCTTAAAGTCAGGGACCCCCGGAACGGCGGTCCCCATTTTTGATCCCCAAAAACGAGGGCATCCTTGCAAAACAGAATGTCTCTCAGGGGAATTCGTGCCGGTGCGAGCTTTTTGGGTGGGCAAAAAAGGCGGACCAAAGGCAAAATGACTACTCCGTTTCTCCCAGTTTAAGACACCTTGTACCCCCCCACACTTTCAGAGCACTTGAAAGGCAAAGAGGCCAAAGAGTTGGCCCTAGATTTCACACGCTCTGAGGTGCTGGCATGACTTCCTTTTTCTTTTTCGCCCAAAAGAAGAAAAAATGTGTCCAGCAGTGACATCGATTCCATTTAAAACCAACAAAGAAAAAATGCAAATATTCGCTTGAGCAAACGGGTATGAGCCAAAATCAAACCACCAGGAATCGGACCGCAGATTCTAGTCAATGGTTCCATTTACCAGGGCAAGCCATTTTGGGGTTACCCCATTTTTGACGACCACAGCCGAGTAGAAGACGAAGCTCCGGGTATTTGTCGCTGCCGGGTCGCGAAGGAAGCAGAGCGATCGAAGGTGGCCGGGGCCTGGCGTTGAGAGCGTTCGGTCGACGACCGTTTTTTGTAGGCTGCATGGAACATGGGGAAAACAGCTTAGTGAGATTTGTACTGGAAAACATGGGAACAAAGCATTGGATATGGGAAAACATGGGAGGACATGGGCGAAAACATGGAAGGAAACATGGGAGAACATGGAAAAACTCGAAAAACCTTGGGGGACATTGGGAAGAACATTTGTTTCAACAAGGTCCTGACCATCGCCATGCAAACTCAGCTGTCTCCGAAATGTGTGCTGGGCCCTGGGAGTCCAGTGGTAACCACCGGGTCCAAAAGCAAACCCCTCAAGCTCAAAATGCCGCCGGCGCTGGTGCGTGCGTGTAATTTTGCCAGCTTGTTTGTTCTTCTTTGTTTGTTTGTTTGAGTGTTTGTTTGATTGCTTGCCTTGCTTGCTTGCTTGCTTGCTTGTTGGTTGGTTGGTTGGCTTGTTCGTGTTTCTGCTTCGCTTGATGACTTGCTTGTGCTTCTGTGCTTGGGTGTTTCCGTGTTTGTCGGTTTGTGTGTTTAGCTGTTCGTGCATGCGTGCGTGTGGGTGTGCGTGTGTGTGCGTGTGCGTGTGCGTGTG